AAAGTGAGAATTTTTCTTTGTCCGATCTCACAATCATATTTTTGAATCCGAAAACTTTAGGTTTCCTTTTCTACGAAAATTAGCCAAACAGATAGCGGAAAAAAACGTGAGATTACCACTGCCACCAAACTGAATGATTAACATAACGGCTCAAAACACTCCCCGAAGGTATAAACAATACAGCAAATACAAAAGAAAGCACGCATGGACAAACCGGAAGTTGATTGAAACGGATTTAGTTTTGCAATTGTGGTTTTTAGAAACCTGTAAGCCTCAGTTTTTCAAAGTGCATTTTTTGTCTTTTTGTAACGTTTGATATGATGCTTAGAGACATTTGTTTGTGTGATTTTGTCATTTACACGTAATTTCTCGAGGATTAGAACGATAATATAGTTATAGTGGCATAATTAACAATTTTAACTAAGCAGCCGTGACACAGCCACTGTAAAATGACTGCTCCGAAGTGGAGCCCTGGGGGGGGGTGGTGGGCACTCAACAGTATTTTATATGGGAGGACCAACCCCTTACCCTTGTTTAGACCATTTTTCACGAAAGAGGTACTCCTTTCGTATTCCTTCTATTGAAAAATAATACCCCTTTCACTTACCTTGTTTAGAACTTTGCATCCCTTTTAACTGCTGTAAATGCACTGTCTTTCAAATCTATTTGGGAATAATCGCAAAAATAGAACGTTTTCTCGCGTTAATAAAGCCATCAAATTCATCTGCTAGACCTTTTGAAGCCTCTCACAGACCCAACTGACAGATTTCCCTACCTTTTTATATACTTTAACTAGTGAAATCCCTAACCTTTCATATTCGTGAAGCCTGAGAAAGATACCCCCTTCGGGTGGAGCCTCCCCGTATAGGCCATCATGGGGAGTACACCCCCCGGTGGGCATGACATGTACGTTTCACATGCTTACTACATCTTAGTTTTAATAATCAGTATTTTCACTTCCAATATCATCGACACAATCACAAAGAAGTAATCCTCCTTGGATCCAAACATTTCCGGTGTAACTAAGTACCATTCGTCATCCAAACGTGAAAATAACATCCGTTGTCTAAGATGTTCGTTTTCAGAGATCATTGTCGTTTCGAAGAGATGTACTTATATTTAATCACTCATGATTTAACATAAAATTGTCGTTGTCACAAAGCACTCGATGCTCAGTTCTCAACTCAAGATTATCTTCATACAGACGTGAAAATAACATCCGTTCTCTAAAATATTTGTTTTCAGAGTTCACGTGTTCAGGATCATTTCCTGTTTTAATTACTTTTTGTTTTGCTCATCCAATATAACAAAAACAATGAATAATTTGAAATATCCAGGACTCCTGATTTTTTATGAATTCAGGTTGCACTTGGAAATACCACATCTCGCACATAGGACTGGAATAATGTTTTCTGTTCAGGAACTTGAACAAATTTTATTCTGATCATTATAATTGAATATATTTTATGTTGTTTTTTTCATACGTATGGTAAATACCAGCATGTCTGTTAGTAATATCCTTCACTTATCTGTGAGTTGCCTCGCTTAGCTATGGCATTTTATTTTTTCTCGTTTGAGACTAGGTTACATTTTTCATTGTCAGTTGGTACAATGTTAGTGGTACGGAACAACAGAAGAGAAACTGAAGCACCTACAAAGAATCCAAAGTTGAAAAAAATACGATCTGTAAGGTAGGACCGACGGTTTTGACGAAGTACTCGAAGCTCATTCTTCCTCTATGTAATCCATGCGTGAAAATAACATCCGTTCTCAAAAAAATTCGTTTTCTGGGCTGGTTTCACTTAAATTTCATTGTTTGAGATAAAAATTTCGTTTTCACTTTGAAATACTTTTCGTTGCTCATTTTTTTTTTATCAATCTTCTTCAATGAGACAAAAACATATGTTCTCCAAAATATTTGTCTTCATTGTTCACCTGTTGCATGGTTATCATTGTCTGTTAGAATTATTTGAGTTTGTGCTCTCTGCTGAAGTACATTAGCAATGACAAGTCTTGATTGGTGAAGCCTTAAGTTGGAAACATCCCATCTCATTTGTCTGCTTTTGTATATGTTGTGGTTCTATTTTTTGCTTGGTTTAAGTTATATTTCCCTTTGGGTGGTATGGTAATGTATGATAAAGAGTTTAAAACAATAGCAAATAAATTTAAATCAAGGATAAAATTGAACCACGACATATAGTTGGAAATATTGAGACAATTTTGAGATTAAGGCATTGTTTTTATATTCAGGAACAAAAACGTTATTATGATTTAATTTAGCAAAAGCTGAATCATCGGATAACGTATTACTGAGCCATTACACCCGGGGCATTATATCATGATTTACAAAATTGGTCAGTATGCGGCATTCAGCGAAATTGCGTAATTTCATTCCTTTGCGTAATTCCGCGCACCTGGAAGGCAAAGCGAATGCCATTGCTTGCAGTTTATGTGATATTAAGACGGTGGTTAATTAATCCAGAAAAGTAACTATGTAGCAAAAAACAATTCCGTTATTACTGTAAAGACTCTCGTTTTTATCATTTTGTTGAAACGGCTTCTTTATTCCTCTGAAAAAAATCTTCAATAATGGGAATAGGTAACCACCCTTTTCACTAAGGGATTTTTATCAGCACAATTAGGGCCTGTTTACATAGTGGTGGGGGACCCCAGGTAGGTGAGGTAACGTGTGGCAAGTTATCCACCTAACATGTAAACGTGATCACATTAAAATGAGAGATTATATGGACAGGCCGGTTACCCCACCTAAGCGGGTTACCTCACCTACCTGGGGTCTCCCACCTCCATGTAAACAGGCCCTTAGTGAATTACCGACTTTCCACTATTCTTTATCTATTTAGGTTACAGAGTCACATGGAGTGCTTAGAAAAAAAGCTCATCTACTGATGTCATATGTATATGGAAAGGACATCGCAAGCTGGTTTTCCAGTAATCAAAAATAATGCAATCAGCAATTGCAATAATATTACATCTCATTCACAACAGGCCAACGGCCGATTTTACACACACCTTTCTATAGGTGATGTTACACGGAACGATTCGCAACGACGCTTTTTTGCGCAACACAGCATCACAACACTGTGTTGCGACATTGTTTCGAATGGTTGCAACTTTGTTCCAACATGGCTACGCTGTGTTGAGCTCAAAATCGTCGTGGTGAATCGTCTCGTGTAACATCACCTTCCTAGGCGTGTACCAAAGTGTTGTTTCGCTAATTAAAACTTTCCACGGCGCGTGGTTGAGGGTTGTTTGCATTGCAAGTGCAAAAGTGTTGCTTTCACACTAAACCTTTCCAAGGCACGTGCCAAAGTGTTATTAATTTCCTTATAATAACTGTGGCTATGGAAAGCTTGCAGGAGTTTTGGTTAATTTCATTTGCGGTTGTTTGACTTCTCTTGGAAAATCAGGAGTCTCGTGTAAAACAAATTCTCCCTGTTTCTGACTGGAAGGTTTGAGAGCTTGTGTGCTTTTGTGATAACCATACAAGACATAGATGAGTAAACCTAGTGAAAGATAAAAAGACAGAAATTTGACTTAATTATTAATGCTTTAAAGCATGTAGTAAGTGTTAAGTGGAAAAGTTTTAAGGAAGTTAGGAAATAAGTCACAGATTGAACTTAGTAATTTAGCCATACGTGGATATAGAGATCTGGGCCCGGTTCCTCGGGAAAGGCCGGTTAGCGTTAATCCAAGATTAAAATTTTGCTCCGTTTTTGTATTTTACATTCCAATGCATTGCTTAGGTAACATTTTTGTTTCATCATTACTGTATCTCGTAGTAACAGTAACAGTATTTTGTAACCTCGAGTTGCATGTTCTTAAACTAGAACTGAACCGTGCTTGAAATTTGGCTTAATGCTAGGTTAAACTTTACCATCTTTTAAGGAGCCGAGCCCTGTTAATAAAGAAGGCCTAAACGTCGTCAGTAGCAACGCTTTATACCAGATGGACGTTACTTCGTTGCTGTTGCAAGGAATTAAAAAGAAAAGCTTCATTACACATCGAGAAGTGTCCCCTGGTCCTAATTCCCAAAAGTAAACAATTCCTTCAAACATGAAGTCGGTACAAATGATTGTTCCAAATATGAAGCACCCAACGTCTTACATGAGCCGTTTGTACATTTCGGGAAGTAAGTTTTTACGTTGGTAAGCTGATACATAGCGTAATTATCTGTACATGTCTTAGGTTTTTCGTAATATCTTAGGCCCTATTAGAAGACTTCTTTGGCTTTGATCAATACACCACTTGCACTAAGAGGTCACGTGACCAATGCTTCCTTTAAACAATGAGTTGGAATCTTGCTGATGCCAAAAATTGACAGAGCACATAAAAATTAGCTTACACCCGAAATTTGAGAGGAAACGCATTTAAGGGAGATATTTTATGGCACTTTGATTTTTCAACAAAGCAGTACGATTTGTATTGGCCGCCATGTTGGAGGGCATATTCTTGCCCTCCAACATGGCGGCCAAACTTTTTTTTGCTTATATCTTGTTAAACGTTTGATAGTTACGCTCAGATGTGCTATTATTATTAGCTCACTTAACTTCTGTGTATCATTTAGTTTTTGTTGCGGTCTGCAAGGCTTTCTAATAGTTTAGGGTTTTTGTTTTTATTAGATAATTGTGTTATTTATGTGCTTGTCTTGCCCCGCCACAACTAGCTTTCCATGCACCTCTTTGCCAGGCAGACTATCCAACTTTTGTATTTTTCTACAAAGAATAAAGTTGTAGTTGTTGTTGTTGTTTAACTTCTTTCAATTTTTTCTTTCATTGGTCTTATTCACATTAAAGATGGATTATCCATCTTAGACGGGTTATCTGGATAATTCGCGTCAGACGGATAATTCGTCTCAATTTGAAAATATGGAAGGGTCTTAATTTTGGATGGACAATCCGCCTGACTTTATCCACCTGTTCTTTGCAGTCAATATTGACCGTTTTTGAAGATGGATTATCCGTCTCTATTGTGACAACGGCTATTGCAATTAACTTACCAACTACCATCCATACGCCAAATCGGGCGAAGGTTGTCCAATGAAGATTTGTTATTAATAACACATTCAAGAAGATGCTTACTGTGGGAATATAGGGGACGCCAGGTACCATGAACGGAAAGGTGGTGTTGTTTTTCGGTTGAAGCAGAATTGCAACAAATGATATAACAGTTATCCCAGAGAAAGAGCAAATAAGGATCATGGCCCACCATTCCATTTTAGAAATTTGTTCAAAAGCAGTAGAGAGAATAACGATGATTGCAGTGATGCCAGCTACCATGAAAAATACCGACAGTTTGACTCGAAAAACTGTACTTTGAGTCGGCTCCTTTTTAGAGCCACGATCATTCTTTTTTACAGTTTCATGTTCCCCTGATATTAAGGGGACCTCGGCATGTGAGCCATCTTGTTGCCCAGCATGCGTGAGACACAGACTTTGAAGCCATTTTACTGTTATGGCCTCTCTCTCGCCAATGCTATTGTCATAAACGCTCTCGACATCAGGCTGATAACGAGTTACCAGTACGGATATCGTAACCATTGTATATGCTAGCAAGGTTCCGATGGACAAAAGCTCTACCTGAAAACAGAACAAGGTTATTCAAAGGTGTGTAAAAGATGATCTACTTGTTGTATAGCTGGAATTTTTTCCGAACAGTGCGCGCTCTTATTGATCATTGGTTACTTCGAGTTCACAGGACATCTAACAATGAAAATGTTTCCCGCCAAAATTTCTGAGCGGGGAAAATCCATGACGTCAGAGGGTAACAGTGCACTGCTACCCGTGAATGTTGACGCTCGCGAGATTTATTTTCTAATTTGTAAACGTGCTTGGGTTATATAACAATTCACTTAAAGACTGGTCCCTCTGGAAACAGTTAATTTTGTTTCCCCCGAATCATGTTTTCCTCGGCAACAATTAGATTCTCGAGAAACAAAATTAACTGTTTCCCTCGCTCGGGACCACTCATTAAGTGTTTAATATATATATAAAATCCGTCATACTGTGTTAAAGCGGTGTTAAAGTATGATCTCGGAGGGGTCAAATAACGTTTGAGCCGCACCCAGTTTGGACTGCTCTAGGAGTAGTTTAATTGTTATTTTCCGACGAAAATTCTCGTCAATCTTATGTGAGATTCACCCTGGGTAATGCGCCCACTTCTGCCATTCATTTTAGTACCTTGCAAATTTACACACGCAGCTACACGCAGCGTTTAGAGAAAAATCCTCAAAAAAGCAACTTACCAACTGGTGGAGATCAAATATCACTGCCAATACTGCAGCAAAGCATCCAACCAAGATCGTGGCCCTCACTGGTGCGTAAGTAGTGTCACTTAGGTGGGAAAACCATCCGAAGAAAAGACCGTCAAGAGACATGGAGTAGAGAAGTCTCGAAGGTGAAAAAACGACACACACCAGAGCGCTGATTGTCGCAGATATTCCTCCACAAGCTACGATGTATTGAGCAACTGGAAAGTCCCCCACTTTTGCAAAAGCTGTCGCTAATGGAGCGAAAGTGTCTAATTCATGGTAAGGTAATATCGCTATTAACACAGTTGAGACACCCAAAAGGGCGAGGGTACTGATGGATATACTGAGCAGCAACGACAGTGGGATGTTTCTTGAAGGGTAAATAGTTTCCTCGGCGGCGGTTGTGATGACATCCAATCCAACAAATATAAAGAAACAACTGGCAGCTCCTTGTAAAACGCCTCGAAAGCCATAAGGTGCGAACCTGTTTGTCCATTGGTTGAGATCAGCGATCAAAATACCGTATATTATCATAAACAAAATGATAAGGAAATTTGCCACTGTCACCGCTTTTTGAACATTAGTAGAAATGCAAACTCCCGAACATACAAGTATCACAGCAGCAATAACTAAGCCGCCCGCAAGGAAGTCTGGAAAGAGAGCAATTCCAGGAACGTTCCAAGTCACTACGTCTTTCATAAAAAACCTGTAGACTTGACCATGAAATAGAGTATCTATGTACTCGCTACAAGCCCGAGCCAAACTAGCGCCTACGATGATATACTCTAAAACAATATTCCACCCTACAATAAAAGCCCATATTTCACCCAGTGTCACATAAGTGTAAACGTAAGCTGACCCGGCTTTGGAAATGCGGCTGCTGAACTCGGCATAGGCGAGCATGCAGAGTGTTGCTGAGATAAAGGCTAGAATAAAGGAGAGAACGATCGCAGGTCCTGCTACGTCACGTGCCAACTCTCCTGCCACCACATACACGCCAATTCCAACGACTGTTCCCACCCCTAGTGAGGTGAGGTCGAAAACTGAGAGACGTCTCCTTAGAGAAGAATCTGTTAACCACCCAACGACTGACTTCTTTCGATGTAAGTTGTAGCATAGATTCTGACAAGGCATTTTGTGGGTCAAAGTTTGAAGCAAGTATTTCTGAATGGAAGGAAAAAACATGTCAATCTTTCACTACACTCTCTACAACTCTCACCCCTCCCCCCACCAACTAAACGCCCTCACCTCTCAGTTTTCAAACACTTCTTTGGGCATATAACGTACCTTTTTAACTTGCATATTTTCCTAAGGAAGGTCCAAGGAGAATTTGATCCTTTGTCTCTTCATAAATTATGCGTATTGCACGTGAATAGGATAGACGCCAACCAATAAAAGAGAGACCTTAGGAAACTACGACGACGGGAACGCTCAAAAGTTATAAGTTTATTAAGAAAAACAACAACTCTGCAGGCACATCACGCTTTTTTCTTGGAAGTTTCTTTGAAGTCGAGTCCATGCACAACTACGGCGTGAAATGACTAAGGCCTTATCCACAGGTATCCGGGTATTTTTGATAACGAGGATTTTTTCTCTCTTTTTATGTAATACGCGTCTGCAAGTGCCTTATTTGATTCGTATTCGCCCGTCCACATAATAACGCTAAAACGATTGAAATACCACAATAGCTTCCTTACATAGCTTGCGTAATGTTAGTAATATAAGATGTACGATAATACTCCGAAATGCATTGATCGAGAAGGCCTGGGAAGACGCCGTACAGGGACTGGGCAAGATGGGGCCTAAATTTTAAGTTGAGAGAGAGAAAGGCAAGGCGGTCTGAAATTTTCCTATTAATGCATCTTTTTCTCTGAATTCGGAAGCGGTCTCCTCTCTCCAGCTCAAATCAACTTTCCTTCTTTTTAAGTAACTGTGCGACTTGAAGTGAAGGCAAAAAAGTTAATTATTCTTTGCGACGTCTGCCATATATGGGCTATATCGGTATGTGCCGCTGTGAAGGGTATGGTTTCCAGCAGTTTCCTCTGGGATATGGTATATAAATCAGAGAGTTTTTTGGGGGTCTAGAATAGGGTATCATTTCCAGGAAACTGTTCAATTCGTTGAAGATTTTAATCTTTACTAGGAAAAGCGGGAATTGTCACTCAAAAAAATCAAACCGCAAGTTCAAACTTACACAACTTAGTCTAAAAGCTACTCTAGGATATGGGAGATTTGGGCATTTCAGTCTAGTAAAGGGTAGAAAAATTCAGCTGAAGTAGCTCTGGTATAGGCTAAGGGTTCAAGGGTCCCAGCGGCACATCCCCACCCAAAAATTCCTAAAGTACCCCCCCCTGTGCGTCCATACTGAGCTCAGATTCGTGGCTCCAGGTGTGACCCAACCTCTCGCGCGAATGAAAAATTATCCATTAACAAACTGTTAGAAAGAGGAAGCCTTTTTCTGAAAAAATATATTCCGCCGAGAAATCTGACGATCCTATTGTTGCAATTTGTTACAGGGAGAAGTTCTTGGAATACGTTGTTTACACATGCAAATAAGAAAAGACCCAAAATGAATCTCACTTCCATTTTCTCTTTATCCTTTACGTAAAACTAAGCGCCCAAAAAGTCTGATGAAATAAGCAAATATAGTCAGCTGAATATCTTTTCTTAAGGTTGCAAAGAATTTTATTTATTTTTACCTGCTTAGATCCATTTATTTGTAGTTCTTTTCTTTTTCCGTGATTGTCATATAGAATGTACGCCAGCATGTATGATTAGAATAACAAAAGCTGTCAAGCTGTTACTTTTCACTTTGAAAACTTACTTTCGGCAATTTTACTACATACAGATGGGAAACGTATAGGGGAACCTTAATATAGTATTGTACTGATGTTATTGCAAGTATAGGCTTTTTTTTATTCATGTACTAATACTTTCCCGCTGGTGAAGCAACTAGAAAACCCCCCTCAAAAATAACTGTCAACTTATTTCCCCACTGCAAGCTTTCATTGGTTCTACTACTGCTCTCTGGCGGCGGAGGTTACATGTTGGTTGCTTTATTCTTGCTACGCCGATTACCACTAGACTTTTGAAATCGATCGAGCAGAGGACAACTAAATGGCAAGAGGACAGGGATAAGCGTTTAAAATTTTTCATACGACAAACTCTGTATAATTTTACATTTGTTATGAGTTGTTGTGACCATTTGAATCACTAAAGTTCGAGAATAATAGAGCTAGACGATTGCTATTAAGCTTGGTTTGTACATAATAAGGGTTTTAGCTACAGGCCTTATTAAAAGGGAGGGCGAAGGGATACTTTCGAGTGAACAATGACTAAACTATCAAGCCACAAAGGATTTTATATTTTTCTCATGAAAGGCGAATGATGAGCAGCCTTTAAGAGTCTTTGGCGATAAGCTCTATCCTAAAGACAGTTGTGAAAACATTGCACGCGAATTGAACAAATACTTACGTACCTTCCCTTGTCGCTCTCTCAAATCCGATGGTTTTAAATCCTCTCCCGAGTTCAGTTACATTTTTTACGTAAAACATTAAATTCAAATGTAAGCAACTGCTTTCGGGCTGTAATACTATAATTATGCACGTTTGTGCTCAAAGCTTATTATGTAAATATATATTTTGGCGGACAGCAGAATTTTTTCACGTTTGACTGATTGCTATAGCAAAAAAGGGTTAACTTTTCGATCAGAGATGTAAATTTGCAACCAACCAACGTATTTATATTTTAGCTTCTTTCTCCAGTTAACCTGGGTTGGAAAAACGCAAAGTGGATGCGAAAATTTACTCAAGCAAAACGTCTGAACCGTCACCTTCGCTAACAAAAGGTTTTCAATAATTGCTTGCAATTGCTTTCTTTTATAAACCAACGAGCAATTAGAGCCACGCGATAACTTACTTCGGACACTGCAATTGCCGCCCTGCTATTATTTATAGACTACAAGACCTCTCGCAAACCATCAAGTCAGTCAAACTCCATTAGCCTGTTGAACATTCGTTTTTCTCCGCGTTTTTCAGACGAGAGAGGGCAAGCACGAGACGAGCGAGGGTCGACCACTGCTCGCCCCACGCTTGGCAGCCTTCTACAAATTCGTCTGAAAACCTCATTTTTGCTGATATACCGATTTACATAAAAGGGGCTAAAATTATTTTTTACGCCATAAACACTTGCCTGAGTAGGGGATCATAAATAAGAAGTACTTCCATGAGCACGTTCTTCTCTTGAGCATGCTAATTTTGGTGAGCAGGTTTACAGATCGTCGTAAGCGGCATGCTAAAAATACAGTGGAGTGAATAGAACAAAATTGAACCAAGAAGAATGGTCGAGAAAATTATTCATTTTACTCGATTTAGTGTCTGAAAACCGCAGATTAGCCCTTTAAGCCCTAAGAGTGATAAGCATCAAATTTCTCCTTGTAATATTAGTGCTTTGTAAAACAGAGTGGTCATGAGAATTACAGACATGATCACACAAGATGAATTTGCTTGAGTTTTTATCAACTTCTCCCCACTACTTCTGAAGGAAATGAATGGGAGCAACAAATGAGAATCCAAATTTTGATCTTAGGGTTTAAAGGGTTAGTTCGGTAGTCTAACAACAGTGGAATGTCTTCTTTGGGGCACCTCTATTCAAGAGAAATCTCCATTCAGGGTCCCAGAAAAATGATCACATAATCTTTAATCAGCTACCTCTATTCAGTGGAAAGGGACTCTTTACTGGTTCCCGAAACCCCATTTTAACCTCCATCCAGGGGGCACCTTAGCACTCAAAATGTGACTGGCAGAGACAAGTTTACAATGATTTTTTAAACATTATCTGGCTGCTTTACATTAGTGCAGCAGATTCAGAGGCAGAATAAAAAAATCTAAATATTACCTTCGTTTATTAATTATTTACAGACCCCAGGGTGTTCCTTGAATAGAGGTCCCACTTCATCAGATTGGAGTTACTTTTTTGAGTGTAATGGCCCTTATGCATGTTGTTGGCGTCAGAAAAGTGGATTTCACCACCAAGCCTTCGTATTCGTTCTTCGTATTTGAATTCGTTAGAGACCTATAGATTCAAGGAGGAGGACGAGTACGAGTACAAGATTTGACTTGATGTTTTTTCGCGTATTCTAAAAATAAAGACTTCCCGGAAAGCTTCATTTTACCTTTTTTCACTAGAAAAGTTAGCACTGTTACCTTTAGTGAAGGAGGTTACACCCTCTCCCGATCGCAAAATGATTAAACTTCTAACATTTGATAACTTGTTTTCCCACTTCGACATTCTCGCTAAAACTCGTGTTAGAGTGACGACGGCTACCACTTTTTCCCGCCAAAATGACGCTGGTCACGCGCAGGCTCTACTTAGTATAACTGAGAAAATCTCATACTCGTAGTGGTACTCATCTTAGAATCTAAAGGTCGCTAACGTGAGCAATTCTTTTTAACTCTATTGCCGTGGGAATTCTATTATGAAAAACATTCCAAGTTTAAATTTCAAAACGAGGCTTAATAGTGAAATTTGCCGGTCTGACGTCAATATGCATTGTGTTGCGTTGCGATACAGCCATTACAGTTAGAGCAAACTTGAAACGGCATTCTCTTAAAGATTGTTTAACAAAAAACAGTAGAAGGGGGCGTTTTGTTCAGCAGTGAAAAATCGAGTTGGCAACAGTTATTTTTTTAACAAGACCATAAAAATTGGCATTCAGGATCTTAACTGGATGGGTATACACTGTACCTGCCAATGCCCATCCGCATCAAGTAACCTACATCGTTTTAATATAATTTGATTTAATCAGCAAAAGTACTGGAAGGTCTCACAGTGCCAATCCGCTCTTACTGATGCGTAATTCAGGAAGCTTCACATCTGCCAGTATTCAAGTGCCGTCTACTTTACACGTGCATTTTGTTTAATGCTTGTGTTTTCTAGCAAATTCATCACCGGAAGTTCCATGTGGTAACTCTAACTGAGGTATATTTATGTTTTGTTCAATATTCGGTGTTTCTTGTAGGATCCTTACATCTCCATCTTCAAGGTTTTCGGTTGGTTTCACTCCTTCTAAACTATGCCAATATCCGTAGAATAAGTAGATGACAAAGCCTACAATGGAGAAGAAAGAGCTGCTACTTAAGTTATTATTCCGTGTATTCTCTTTGTTTCTGAGGGACTTAAGGTGTAGCGACCTGTGACAAACTTGATAATTCGTTTTGGTTTCAAAGCGACGGCTACGAAACTATATCGTTCAGCACTTGTTCAGCACTTTTTCAGCACATAACCTGAAAGCTGATTTGATTCGGCAAGTAATAGATATTCATTTGCGAAGTCAAATCTTAAGGGTACCCTACTTAAAAAAATAGCGTCCAGTGAAAAAATTTCGCTATTATATTTATCTTACGTTTCCGTCAGTCCCAGGCTTTTTTTATATAAATAAGTTTTAGCGAACTCGTTGGAGCAGAGTCCGCAACTAGAAAGTCCTCATGAATAAATATATTTATCACTAGTCACTGATGTAGAACTTTCTCGTATTTGCTGACTGATAGTTGCAGGTTCAGTCTCAAATTGAATAAACGTTAAGAAAATTTTACATCAGTCACCTAATACCTCAAACTGAATTGAACGATTGAAGTCACGACAGGCAAAGTAGCCTGTGTGCGCACATCTCCTATTTCCATGCATTTGAGCAACAAGGGAAATCAGTGGGAGATGTCTGCACGCACGCTCCGAAACGTGGCAGTGTAGCGGCGTAGCTGTTGTGGCACTTAGTGAAGAGGTTGAGGACATGGTTGGAGGGTTTCAAATGATCATAAAGACGAAATAGCCAAAGAAGTGACTGGAAAAGATAGCAACTGCACCTGATGAAGGTCGGTTAGTTTTTTGAAGAACTTTAAGAGAAAAAAATTAATCCGGTCATTATTCAATTCTACCACAACCGATGAATTGAAAATTTACCTGGATAAATTAGGATGACTTTGGAGTTAAGATGTTTTGAGCTGAATGAGTAATAAAACAATTACTGGGCGTGGCTTTCGTATGATTTGAAATATTTGGCAGATTTTTATTAGGAGCGTGATGTTCACATGCCGAAACCGGATGCTGAGACGGATAAAACTCTCCTACATAATGGTTGTTTGAAAATCTTAATCCGTTAACTACAATAAATCTTGAGACTTTTTCGGAGGGGAGGAGGGGTTGGGGCAGGTCCAGGTCCACTTGGTTTTTTTCCGGGAATTGTTCCTTGCATCTTAATGTGTATCTCAACATTTTAATTGCCTTGCGTAGTATAAAATTAAGTTTGACTCACCTAGCAACATCCATACTCCAAAGCGAACATAAGTCATCTCATTAAGATTTGCTAACAACAAAATGTTGATGAATATTGTCAACGCTGGCGTGAAAGGAACAAAACACACCATAAATGGAAACGTGGCAGAATTTTGGGGCTGAAGCTGGACAACCAAAAATGAAACGATGATAATTGTGGAGGCAAAGTAGATCAGGCAGACTGCCCACCATTTTCCTTTATAGATATCGTCATATATAAATCTCAACATGATAGCCAGAACCGCCATACTCACAACCAGGCAAAACACGCCCACTTCTGCTCGATATGCGGTATTTTCAGTAACTTCTGAATTAGTTGAATCTGAAGAATCTGAAAAGTGAGGATGCGAAGAAACAGATTTGTCATCGTCGCTTGTGATCCGTTCGTAAGCTTTTCGAGATTGTTTTGTGTTTTTCTTTTCTTTCGAGAAGGAGACCAGTTTACGTAGCCACTCAGTTATGTTTGCGTTTGGTCCTTCGGGATGTGGAACGCTCTCTACCCCAGGCTGATAGCGACTGACAAGAACAGATATGGCCACTTTCGTGTAAGCTACTAGCGTTCCAATTGACAAAAGTTCCACCTGATGATACAAATTTTATGACCTGGAGTTAGTAGGCAATTGCGCAATAAGAAACGTAAGAAAAACAAATTGCATCCTAGCAACTCGTGCACGTTCATAACGCCTTCTAGTACACGATTTCTTTGTCGTCCTCTGAACAATACGAGAAGTCTAAAATTTTCTTGACGCCACTTCATCACGATTTTCTTCTTTTTCTTTGGCCCTAAATGCAAACTAACAATTAAATTACACAAACACTAGGCTTTATTACACACATCGAGGCAGTATAGGTACTCGTTGTGAAGTGGTTTAAAAGGATTAGCGTAGTGTAATTCTGTTTGATATTTTCACTGCCGTTTAAGTCCTAAGTAGCCAAGCAGAAAATCCTGACTACCTTATTATAGGAAATTAACGCTCCATGAAATTAAGGTATTGGAAATTAACGCGACTTAAATTAACGCGAATTTAACGGAAAACGACTTTCGAATAAAGAAAATTAACGCGAAAGAGGAGGTAGAATTTCATGATAAAGGAAATTAACAGGATTAATTACGCGAAATCAAAGGAGAAGATATTGACATCACTTCTGACAGCGGCAACGATGAAGATAACTCGAAATATAATTGTAAACCTTCGCCCTAGCTTTTGTGAAAGATGAAAAATAACGCGAATTTTAACGATTCGCGTTAATTTCATGGAGCGTTAATTTCCTATAATAAGGTAAATGGTAGCAAGTTAAGTTAGCATTGTCAGTTCCTGTCGAATTTAACAGAACAAAAACGGAACTTACCAGTTGGTTAACTTGAAAAATCATAGCTAAAATCGCCATGATGATTCCAGAAACGAACGTCGCTCGGCCAGGCACCTGTGATTTATGGTTTATTTGGGAGAACCACCTAAACAACAGTCCGTCAACAGACATTGAATGGACAACTCTCGAGGTGGAGTAAATACAGCAGAAAAGTGCGCTGATTGTCGCGCAAATACCTCCGCTTAACACAATGTATTTGGCTCCGCCAAATGTCCTTTCTTGAAAGGCATCTGCTAGTGGTGCAAAAGCATCATGTTTTAATTGTTTATAAGGCATCATAAGTGTCAGTACCGTGGAAACACCCACGTATGCCAGCGTGCTCATTATTATAATTAAGAACAGTGATCTTGGAATACTTTTCTCTGGCTGTACGGCTTCTTCTGCGGCCTCGGCAACAACATCGAAGCCTGTAAAGGCAAGGAAAGCAATTGCTGTTCCACGTAATATGCCGTGCAGACCGTGAGGCATAAAACTGTTCGTCCAGTTTTGTAAGTTTGCGAAGAAACTTCCGTAGATGATTATAAATGTTATAACTAGCAAGTTAACTGCGGTAATAACGTTGTGAAAATTTGTGGAATTGTGAACCCCCGTGCAGAGAACCGCCATCACTGCAAGAACTAGGGCGGCCGCCAGTAGGTCTGGGAATGTTCTTTCATTCCCGAATACGAGCCAGTGCGTTGAAAGGTATTCTTCAAAGAAGAGGAACAACTTCCCACTGGAAGTAGAATTTATGAACTCGCTGCACTTTCTAGCAAGACTTGCTCCGGAAATTAAAAATTCCAAAACTATGTTCCAGCCTACAATGAACGCCCACACTTCACCTAAAGTTGTATATGTGTAAATGTACGACGATCCAGTGTCTGGAAAACGGCTACCATACTCGGCGAATGAAAGCGCGCATAACAATGCCGCCACAGACGCTAAGAGAATAGAAAGGACGACAGACGGACCTGTAGTGTCCCGCGCTACTTCACCAATTGCCACATACAGTCCGGCGCCAACAATTGTACCAAAACCCAAGGAAGTAAGGTCCAATGTTGTTAGACATCTTCGAAGTGGAGTTTCTGGCAGCCATTCTTTTTTAACCTTTTTACGAATTAAGTTCTCAAGCAGTCTTTTCAAGGCCATCTGTCGAAAATATTGGGAGAGTAGTCATAAGCAAATGCAATTTGTACGGCATTACAAACAAGCAAGACTTTACGATGTCTCTTGGTTGCAAACTACTCTGAGAATTCACCATTTGCACATCTCCCAATTCACCTAGACTGCGGTGCAGACGTAATTTTTTCCCGGTTAGTAACGTCTGCGAAACAACACCGAGATCCTTTCTCTGGACCCCAACGTACTCGAATACCGGAAGTGCGTTTCGAATTTCCCTCCAACCTAATTTGCAAATCGCAAATGACTTTTTTAACAGGCCAATCATGGCGCGCACTGTAATCCTGGTGCACAGTTGGGGGATTGGGGGACAACGATTGAATGACGAAAAACATCATCACATATGGCGCAATATGAAAAAAAAAGCACAAAAGCAAAGCGGTTATTTGCAGCCAAGGAAATTCCATTCTTCTCCTCATAATTCTAATAACGTTTCTTTGGCGTCTTTTGACCAAGCAATTCCACGATCTCCTCTTTAGCGATTTAGCGGCTACCAATTTTTTAAAAACAACGTATGCGCCTCGGTTACAGCAGCAGTAAAATTGCATCGCATTGCATCTCATTATATTTTTGGCTCAGTGACTAGGTGTGCCGAGGCTATCTTGCTAGGTTGTCTCCGCACTCCTAAAAATTGGGGCACCAGTGTCAAACTTTGTTTGGTATCGATGCGTTTACACGTCGTTAATTGCGAGTGCTGAATCCAAAAATTGAAAGCACGGTGCCAAAAATGTGTAGTGCCGTGCCGACTTTTTTGCACGTTTAAATGAGGTTTAAAATCTCCATTACCAGTTTAATATCTTGACTCTTTTACAGAGTTTTCTACGTTATTCTGGAGATAAGACGCGTATAAAATAAATTAAGCAATATTTAGTAATGCCGGTTTGAAGCAACCTCGTCCCAGGTAGCTTTTGCTTGACTTTGGAGGTGGCCTCACCTCCAAAGCCAGGGAAAAGCGCCCTGGGGACGAGGTTGGGTTTGAAGCAATTAAGTCAGTCAGTGTGCCAATTCATAGCACTACACCATCAAATATTACCTTGAATTAGCATTCTATACTAGTAGGGAAAGGTGATGTTACACTGGACGATTCGAACGACGATTTTTAGCGCAACACTAGGGTTGCAATGTTGGAACAATGTTGTAACAATTGGAAACAATGTCGCAACAATGTTGCAACGCTGTGTTGCGCTAAAAATCGCCGTTGTAAATCTTCTCGTGTAACATCGCGTTAAGGAATAGCTAATTAAAAAAATTGTCCAAATTTAGCTTTCTAACCTTGTTTCAAGGTTACAGCAGCATCCCTTGGACAACCATAACATCTTTCATCACATGTTGACCTTCTCATTTGCTCAATGTCAAAATGCAAAGAACTTTTGGGAATCCCATACTTCGGGATCATTCGACAGTCTGGAGAACTTTGCTTTTCTCATATTATGAGCCCCTTGTATGAACACAAAATTTACAATTCTGCCAATGATTCTTTCGTTGCAGCATATATAACTAAGGAAACGTCAAAACTCCATTATTTGACTTTACGACACAAAAAAAGGATGAATTAGCATTATAAATGTTTTCTTTTTTTTTCAGCCCAGTGCCCTTAACCGAAAATTTCCTTTACTGCCAGTTGCCTAAGTGTAGATTTCAAACAAAAAGGCCTACATTTTCAACAGAGAAAAGATATGTCCCGGGGGGGGGGGGCACTCCCTTATTTGGCCTATAGGGCTATTTGCCGCTGAACAGTGTATGGTTTTCAAGGGCTTAAGTCTTAAACAGGGTACACAATTTCAGTAAGCATCTTGAACAGGGTGTCTTTTAGGACTGGAAGTCTTTCAAAGAGTTTGAATACTTGCAATGAGAGGTCTACACTTGCAATACCAATAATTTTTTTCCTTAATAAAAATGTCCACGAATTTAGTGTTAAAAATGCTTAATTCCGTAACCAAAACAGAACAAATCAAGGTCAGAAAGTAGTGTCTCCTGTCTTATACAAGGTGACGAAATAAGCAATTTTTGTCTTAAACAGGTTCGGGGTTGAAGATCTCGGCGGCACGGCTCTACGTAGACTTCTCTTGAGTGTCCCCCCCCCCCGGGAAAATTTGCTTGTTAGAAGGGCCCCAAACTGTTCCAGTTACCATTATGTGGATGTAACTACTGAATTTAAAATTCTAAATTATTTTTCAGCTCATTAATGTTTTTAAACTACGACTCTGCTTTAACGAAAGGGATGAAAATCGAAGACAAAGCAGAGGCCATGTTTACAAACATAATTTCTTGCTGTCGACTCTAAGTGCATTTTCCGGTCTCGTATTCAAATACTGCAATTAAAGTTGATTCAGCTTGGCTCAATGCTATTTGCTCCAAGTTGCTTATTTTTATTCGAGTCGATTAAGTTTTTTTGGATACGTCTTCTATTTTACGCGCGTTCAGGACATCTTTTCATAGGAAACGAACACTATAATTTTATATACATATCGCTTACTTACCCATAACATTCTACATGGTTCATTAGTGAAAATGTGAATCATCCTATACCCTGGTTTGACTCAAACCATTTCTGGCCATGGCAATCTATGTAATTTCACTTTGTAGAGCACTGGAAAATATACTTAGAGCTGGATGTCTTAATAAGTTTTCGATCTTAAAAAAATTGCGCGGACATTGTAATCGCGGTAAACAGCATTTAAATAAAGAGCTAAAATAATTACGCTTACCGTTTTCAGCTAATGAAGCTCTTAAGAGACAAATCTCTCCCTTTAGGAACGTTTTCAAACACGAATGAGGACAAATAAAGCGCTCAATAACTCCTCCACTGGCTAAAAATATGCCCTTTTTGTCATCTTGAATTATTTCCGCGCGAAACAAGATAATAATGCTCATGCATAATTAGAACGCATGACATGAGCTGTCAAGTTATTGCCTGAGAGATCATCCAGTGCTTAGTAACAGTTCGGTTGGATGGTTGATTAACCTTCAATTCTATGTCAGTTTTTTGTTTACTTTTTATACTTTCATTTCATTTTTTAAATTCGAGTTGTTTCTTAATAAACCTGTGCAAGGATTTACATTTACTTTTGAAAAAAAAAAAAACATAATTCGATATTTTACATCACTGTATTTTAGAATGGAATGGACTTAGTTATTACTTGGATAATTGCATGGGCCAAACGCCTATCAGAATTCAATAGAACGAAATCATTTTAAATATTTCAGATCTAAACACCAATTGCTTAGAGTATCAGGAGGTGGAGAGCTTATATGGCTCATGATATTTACCCTGATTTACACGTAATTCATGCAATTCATGTTTTTCTACTGACATTTAGCCGATTGTAGAGTGTAGGATCGAGGTCATTGCAAAACGAAACAGTGATAAAAAGGTTCCGGAAACATCCAAAAAAGTAGCAAATTTCACCCCATCAAGTCCCGTCTTCAGTTCATGCATAATTTATACCCTTTTTGTAGAAATTCCAAGATATCTCGAAATTCCTCTCATAGATTATGGTGAAACTTTTGCACAACCAACGGAAGACAGGCACCCAAAGTAAACTATGAGTATACGTAGCGTAAAAAACTCCCAAAGATCGGGCCAATAAGGGCTGAAATTCAATTTAGAGCTTAATCATTCTGACGTCATCGTCATTATCGTCATCATCGTGATACTTATTCCGAAAGCCAAAAAAATAATATCATAATTAAGTTTAGTCTATGTGTAATACATGTGTTATAATGGTCCTACAATAAAGATCAAAAGATGAAGGTCTCGCTACAAAAACAATAGGCTGATTTACCAACAGAGAGGGAATGTCAGTTGACGACTGTGCGCGAAAATCAAACTACTGGCTTGAACAATAGGGACCTTAAGATCCAGGACGGGAGAGAGGACGACGGCGCGCCAAAGGACGGTAAGGACTGGGCCTAGGTCCCCGTCTCACGCGATGGATAAATAGCTTAAGATTGTTGCCGACGGGGACGCCATTTTTCTTCCAGAATATTTTGGCCATTTTGGTTTATTCTACAGCAGTTAAACATTTCATATCGTGGATTAGGAAGCGTTTTTTTCTTACATCTTGGGTATTGGGGGCTTCAAAACATGACGTAAGTTTTAAGCTTATATGGCAGCTTAATTCGTCATCTGGCTGATGTCGTAGTAAAAAATTTTTCTTTTCCTCTAACTCTGTTGCTTGATTTGTTCAGCTTGTTATCTTATGTTTTGTGTGTAAAAATACGCGTTAAAATGAGTTTTAAGCATGCAAGAGATGCCTTGGTTCTATGCCATGACAACGGAGTGATAGGCGACGAGGAATTTTGCCTTCTATACGATGCAAATCGATCGAAAAATCCCGAATTTCCTTACGAAGAGTATGGAAAATTTGATCTTGAAGATATGGAGGACGATGAATGTAAAGCGGAATTTCGCTTCCATAAAGAAGACATCCCGGTGCTGGCAGAAGTCCTTGGTTTACCCGAAACTTTCACCTGCAGCCAGGGATCCGTGACTAATGGCATTGAAGGGCTATGCATTATGCTGAAAAGATTTAGCTACCCCTGCAGGTACTCAGATTTAATTCCCCGTTTTGGTCACGCTGTTCCTGTGATGAGCATGATCTGTAACACAGTAGTTGACTTCGTTTACAACCTCCATGGCCATAGAATAACCGAGTACAATCACAACCTTCTTGATTCGGCTAGCCTTCAAGTCTATGCAGATGCAGTTTTTGCAAAAGGTGCCGCCCTGGATAATTGTTTTGGTTTTGTGGATGGCACGGTCAGGCTCATTTGTCGCCCTGGGGAAATGCAAAGAGCTGTATACAATGGACACAAACGTGTACATGGACTAAAATTTCAGTCAGTTGCTCTACCAAATGGACTCATCGCAAATCTTTTTGGACCTGTAGGTTAGTGAATTATTCATTTCGGCTAATACCAAGGCAATGGGAAGGTATAAACATGAGGCATATGATTTCTTTAAATCC